AAAAATTTGCCAATCAGGATTATCACTGCAGCTTTATACTTGTTTCAAGGGTTGTCATACAAATCAGAAGCCCTTGTCGCACATTGGTAAGCCTTCCAAAGTATGATTGTAAAAATATCTTATAATGAACCTAATTTGTGTTTTGCCGCACCTGAAAGGGTGGGTCCACTTAAATGAATATGATTTACATTTGCAATGTTTGCTTGCTTTTCCTTCTAGCTTATTCACATGCTCCTTCTAGCTAAGAACATTTGAAAGCAAGTCAACCTCATGAATCTGTCCTCGGAACCATAGAGAACTGATTTGACTCCTTGTGTAAGACGGTCATAGCTGAACAGCTGAAATCACTGTGAATAGACAAAACTCAAAGTGCCACTCTGAAATATTCTCATCTACCTGTAGGCAAATGAAAATGTGGCTTCTGAGAGTGAGGCAGGATGAATTCCAGTTACATGGTATGTAACAAGCAAACATTTTTAGCCCTGCAAACTGTTCAGGTGTATGCATAATTTTCAGTCTACTAAGTGGCCACCTTTAAGTTAGATTCAAATCACACTGACTGGCACGATGGTACAGATTCCAGGGCTTAAACAGGTGCAGGAGAAGACACTTAATGCTGCCTGGAGGCTTGTAACTTCATGGCATTTTCACATGTTCACTCAGTACCTGATTTCTGCAGAACCTAACCAATTTTGTGCAGAGAATACTTAAAATGAATTAAATTAAATAAAGCATCTCATTGATTTGCAAAGGCTTCTTCATTATTTCAAGACGAACAATCCCTTCAAATAGGTGAGCAGCACCTTTATAAGATTTTTTGCAAGAAGCAATATGAAAAAGGTGATTGGAAGTACATAATTAAAGTGGCATAAATGGAAAATGAAATGGGCATATTCATCTGTATCTTCTACAATCGTGCTCACTTAAGCAGTTATTAAGTTTAAAAAAAAGTTATGCATTCCCTTACAGAACATATTTCAGCATGTTGTCACCCACCAGCCAGGACTTCAATTAAAGAGATTCCTCATCTTGGTTCCAAATTGAAGCAATCACTCAATTTCAATGCTTTATAAACTCATATGTTCATCGTTAAGGTCTACAGCCACATGTGCACTCCAGTTCTCTTGGAGGATGGCCCGTCTCATCTTTATTACCTCTGTACGGGAATCAGTGAACTGTTAACTCTTAGTTACAGATTCTGCTTGCGGAAAGTTTTCAGTGATAGAGTTACCATGAGTTCAGTTCCTAAGGTCTTTCCGTTGGGAGTTTTCTGATTTCCTTATTAGAGCAATGGGAAGAAACTGTACTTGCTCTAGATACAAAAATCTTTCTGCACAACCGAACATTTTGGCATTGTATCCTTATTAGTAACTGGAGGAGAAAAAAAGCACTTGGTGGGTATGATATTTCACTCCTGCATTTTGCAGATGATGGCGTTTACAATGCACTGGGAATGCATAATGGAGTTCGTTTTTCCAGCTATGATATGGTTGAACAATTTTAAATAGGTTTCTTCCCAGTAGGCTGTTATGCAGGTGCTGACTGTGTCAATTGTTGACACAACTCAAGTCTTTCTGCTTAATAGAGAGTGCGGTGTAGAACACCAGTATGCTGGCCTTTACAAATTAGATCCAGAAATAAAAATAACAGGAGGTTAAATGTTAGCTTACTGTTTTTTTTTGCAATTTGGGGAGGGGCTTGTGGAAGAAGAACTAATGGGAGCAAAATTCATTTCAAAACCTCATCAAAACACAGTTAAGTATTAAATATAGCTATTTGGTATTGGAACTATTTAAGTATTTGTGCTTGAGTTACAAATATTGTTAACACAAGGGTTCAGTAGGGTCCAGTGGACATTTTTAAAGCAATTTGTGAGTTGCTTATTTTATAGTTGAACGTAATAATACTTTGTAAGCAGTGAAACTCCCTGAAAGAAATAAGTGCAAACAAACTTCAGTGAACCCTCTGTAAAAATCAACATAACTAAATTTTGGTCCCAATAAAAAATTTGGAAGCAAAATGGAAACTAAACTAAAAGTAATTTACTAAATTTGGACATTTAAAAATACAATATTTTTGAACTTGCACATTTTATTTTTACATTTTTTCATTATAATTCTGTTGGTTCCTGCCTTTTTTTCTTGGTTTTAGTTAAATATTTTACAGGTGTCATTCTTTAAAATGAATATATGAACATATGAAACTGGTGCAGGAGCAGGCCATATGGCTGCTGTTCAAGCCTGCTCCATTATTCACTAAGATAATAGATGACGTTTGACTTCAACTTCATATTTCAAACCCCTTTATTCCCTTAGAATCTAAACATTTATCTAACTAGGCTTTGTGTTACTCAATGACTGAGTATTCGTGGGTCCCTGGAGTAGAGAACTCCCAAGATTCCTAAAAATTTAGTGAAGGAAGTTTTCTTCATCTCTTAAATGGCTGACCCCTTATTCAGACATGCTCCTTCATTCTACTCTCCTACCAAGCAAAACCACTTCTTTACAGTTTACCCTATCAAACCATCTCAGAATTTTATGTTTCAAAGTGACTGTCTATTTTTTTGACGTCATGTGAGTATTGGCCCATTCTACTCAATTTCTTTTCAAAGGCCAACCGTTTCAACCCAATGAAGTTTTCTTGTTCCCCTTCTAAGGTAAGTCTATTCTCTTTTGGGTACAGAAGCCAAAATTCTATATGCATTCTGGTGTCTTCTCGCAAAAGCCCTGTAAACTTTCAGCAGCAAATTCTTGCTATTGAATTCAAGTTCGCTTGCAATGAACACCATTTACCAAAACACTAAATGCTCAGTGTATTAAATCACATTGTGATTTGTGTAGAAACACATCCAAATCTCATCCAATACATTTGTTAAAAGCAATGCAATGATGTAATTAATTGTTTGAAAACCCAACATTTCTCGTTTCATTTCTTAGGAAAACAAGCAAGGTACATGAGAAAACATTGATGTACAGCATAAAGGAAAATCCAAAGGAGTTTATTGTTATTCTCTTGCTCTTTACATATTTGATGAGAAGAGTAGGACCCATTTAGGACCAAAGTGGGAATTTGTCTGTGGACCCAGAAGATGTGGGCCCAGTCCTCAATAAATACTTTGCAATAGTTCTCATGATGAAAAAAGAAGATACAGGAATAGACATCAGGGTGGAGAACTGTGAAATAGTTGAAGAAATTAACCGAGAGAGAGGAGGCAACAACAGGTTTAGCAGCCTTAAAAGGGGATAAATCTGCTAGCCTGGGTGAGATGCATTCCAGGCTGTGCAGGAGGCAAGGGAGGAGATACAGGGACCTAGGTAATTTTCAAATCCCCTCTGGCCAGAAGTGAGGTGCCAAGGGACTGAGGGACTGCAAACTTGTCCCATTATTAAAAAAGGGAGGAAGGGATAAACTGTGAAATTTCAGGTCATTCAGTCTAATCTCAGTTGTGTGGAACTAATTTGAAATAAATCTGAGCGACAGAATATATCTGCACTTGGACAGACATAGATTCATCAGGGATTGTTGAGGGATAGTTGTGTTTGACAAATTCGATCAAAATTTTTCAAGAGGTAACCAGAAGTGTTGATGAGGATAATGTATTTGATGTGGTCCAAGTGGACTTTAGCAAAGCTTTTGATAAGGAGGTCAAGCAAGTAAGAGCCCATGGGATCCAAGGCAAAGTGGTACGTTGGATCCAAAATTGGATTAGAGGCAGAAAAAAAGGAGGGTGATGTTGGAGGAATGTTTTCAGTGAAGTTCCACAGTGCTTAGTGCTGGGGTCTTTGCTGTTTGTGTTATGCATTTTATGATTTGGACTTCATGTAGGGAGTATGATTAAGAAGTTTGCAGATGACACAAACATTTGTACAGTTATGAATAGTGAGTAGCCATAAGTTACAGGAAAATAACAATACATAGGTCAGCTGGGTAAATGGAATTCAACCCTGAAAAGTGAGAAGTAATGCACTTGGGGAAGGCTAACAAGGCAAGAATTTACACAATGAGTGATAGAAAATGTAGGACTCTGAATAGTGCTGAACATCAGAGGGACCTTCATTGCATATAACAGATCCTTGTAGGCAGCAGGGTAGGTAGGTAAGGTGGCTAATAAGGTGTATGGATACTTGCATATTAGTTAAGACATAGAATACAAGAACAAGGAGGTTGTAAGACACAGGTTCTGCCACAAGTAGAATACTGCATGCAATTCTAAACACCACAATCTAAGATAGATGGGATTGCACGAGAGAGGGTACAGAGGAGATGTACCAGTTTGCTGACTGGGCTAGAGGGTCTAATCTATGAAGAAAGATTCAAAAGGCTGCAGTTAAGATTGAGAGGGGGTCCGATACAGAGGCATAAGATTTTGAGGGCATAGGTTGAGTGGATAGGAAGTTCTTTTTTCCATTAGTAGAGAGTTCAGTAGTCACTTGATATAAATTTAAGATAAGAACTAGAAGTCAAAGAAGAGAATTGACAGTGCATTTTTTTCACTCAGAGGGTGTTGAGAGTCTGGAACTCAATACCTGACTGGGTAGACTGTTAGATTTGAGCAGTATTTATACATTCATTTATGTTACTGTTGCCTCCAATGCTATGGGCCAAGAGCTGCAAAATGGGATTAGTGTATTCAGATCTTTGTTATCTGGCATAGAAACAATGGGCCAAATGACCTGTTTGTGTGATGTAACTTTCTGTGTTTATAATTAGGTAGCTGCTAGTGCTAGTTTCAACCTGCAGTGAACTGTTTTACAATTCTTCTCATATGTTTAGTTCAGTTGAAGTGGTGGGGAGGTCTAACTGTAGAAAACTTGCTGAGTAGAAGGGGTGCACCCATTGACTATACTTCAGGTTAGAAAGCAAAGTTAGAATACCCAGCAGCTGTTCCATGCTGATGTTTGAATTTGAGGAAGTTTCCATTATAGATTTATTTCTCTTAGAGTTTTGCCATGCAGATTTAAGTGACACTAATAAAATAATCTTTTATTATCCTGCTGTAGGTTACGTACAGAGCTTAATTAGGCGTGTTGTTAACAATGTGAACATTGTAGTCAACAACCTCATCTTGAAGTATGTGGAGGATGACATTGTTCTCTCAGTCAACATTACATCTGCAGAATGCTACACAGTGGATGAGTTTTGGGATCGAGCTTTCATGGATATTCTAGGTGAGTGAAATAGATCCTTTCATCATTTCTACTTTTGGAAATGTGGGAATGCAAAATGTGAATTAAAAAAAAACACTTAGTAAAGCAGGATAGTTGAAAAAAATCAAATGGGGTTTGGTCATTTGCACATAATTGTTCAGAATTCTTTCTATTGCATCAACAACAGTATTTATGTAGCCTTCGTAACATGCAAGTTTTTATAAGATTTTTAGTTTTAAACTGTCTGTCTTTAATTTTAAGGTAAGATGGCATGCATTGGAGAGGTAGGGCTTTGTAGGAAGTTGTTTAATTCTGTCTGGCAACAGGCCAGGTGATTAGGTTACCATAAGGACAAGAGGGCCTAAGTCAAAAGACTTGTTAATCAAGGGCAAAGTTTTCACACCTAAAGCAAAGGCAAGAGCAGCTGGGCAGATTTTCGTTTTAGAAAGAGAATTATAGAGAGGGGGTTCCTAGAGAGTGGCAAGGGCAGTTTAAGTGTCGTGAACACAGAGGGAAGTATGCTCTTTCTAAGGATGATCAGGCAGAAAGCAGAAGGCAGATGATCTCGAGTTAAAGAGATATCCATAGCGTAAGAATGTAAGAATTAGTAGCAGGAATAAGCCATGTAATCTGTTAAAGGTATTTGCCATTTAACTGGATAAGGCTGATCTAATTGCACCCTTATTCCACTTTCTTGTCTGCTGCCCGCACACCCCAGTGTCCTCATTTCCATGTCAATCAATGTTTAACTCAGTCTTGAATATATTTGGTGAAGCAGCTTCCATTGCTCACCGAGGAAGTGAATTATAAAGATTAATGTTTCCCAGACAAGACATTGCTTCCTCATCTCTGTCTTAAATGCAAGTCCCCTATATTTGAACTGTTACCCTTAATTCTACATTTGCTCACGTCAAGCTCCCTCAGAATCTTATCCTCTCATATTATAAACTCCAAAGGTTGTAGCCCCAAATATCTCCACCTTTCATTGTAGGATGACCCCTTTCATCTCAGAAATCAACTGGAGCAAGCCTACTGCATTCGTTAGTTCAACACATCTCTGCTTTGAGAGAAGCGTGTTTTGACATTCACTCAATGTTGTGAGTTGGCTAAACATGGAGATGTGAAATAGTTGAATATGAGATGGGAGTAATGTTGGTTTGCTTACTGTAAATTGTGCAGCTCTACAGAGAGTGAGGAGTAAAGCATAAGTGTTATGTGGGGTTTTGATTGTGCTAACCGTAAAGAGGGATAGTTTAGAGTATCAGTTATCTGCTAAGTAATACTTCATCGCTGTTAGTTATAGTTGGATGGCTGCAGTAAAAGTATTAAAACTTGCAATCTTTTTGTGTGATCCTTTCAGTTAGTCACAAGGAATTTATATCTATTTGTTCAAAGTTATTAGCCACATCAGGGATTGTTTGAAAAAAACTTTGCAATGCTAATTTCAGGAGTATTCTTAGACCTAATTTGTCACCAAGATGATATGAGAAGAGGTGACCCAGAATTTGGTCAAAGGGAGATAGTAGGAACTGCAGATGCTGGAGAATCCGAGACAACAAGGTGCAGGGCTGGATGAACACAGCAGGCCAAGCAGCATCATAGGAGCAGAGAGGCTGACGTTTCGGGCCTCGACCCTTCATC